GTTTTGATTGGCTCATAGCGATATAGGTTTACATGTATTTTTCTGATTGATTAGTGAGTGGGTTGGGCTTGAATTTGGTCCGATCAGTCTGGTTCAACTGAGTTGGATTTGGCCCGAGTTTGAGTGGGGCCTGGACCTTATACTTTTGTTTGGGCTGACCTATTGACTGTCTTAAGAGTTGACTGGGATTTCACTTGGACTGGAGTTTTTTGACTTTGACTAGTGTTTTTGTTTTGCCTTGGGCCGTTCTTATTTTCTTATTGTAATTATTGTAATGTTTTTATTTAGCTAAGTGTGTAATTATTGTTTAATGAGAAAAACAAACAATTTCGTTTATCATTCCCGTATCAAGCCCCAAATTCTCGCAAGTCTAACGCCTAAAAGCAACTCATTAGTTACAATTTTTGTTTAACCAAACCAACATTCTTGAATCGTATAAACCAAGACTCATGACTCAAATTAGATGTGATCTCTAGCTGTAGATTTGCTATTGCAAATCTTGTCAATTCACGAACTAATACACTCTCCTTCTGCGCCTCAGATATGGTTTTAATTAGAAAGATGTTTGCGATTCGAAATTGCCAATCATGAACAAACTAAGATCTCTCTAATTAGTTATATGTTTCAAACCGGACAAAATGTGGTGTCTACAGTTCCCCCCATTTGTATGCCTCTCGGTTTAGAGATGTATACAAAATTCCCTTAAGCACCACATTTTGACAGTGCTAGGGATGAGTCTACTATTTGGTAACAACGATCCATTCAAAATTTTTGGGATACAACTAGCTAAACAAGTTGAAAGATGGTATAAGAAAGCACTCAAGTTGTACGGGATATAACAAAATGAACAAATTGAATGAAAAATGCAATCATGATGTTCGGGGTATGACATGCTAAGCATTTATTGATTGCAATTCGATAGCGTAGTCCGGGATATGACACGCTAGACATTTTTTAAACAAGGCGATCAAGTTGTTCGGGATATGACATGCTAAACATTTGTTGATGGCAAAGCTCTCGGGTTGTCCGGGATATAACACGCTATTTTTGGACAATGCGATCAAATTGTTCAGGGTATGACACGCTAAACATTTATTGATGGCAAAGATCTAAGGTTGTCCGGGATATGACACGCTATATATTTTAATAGACAAAGCAATCAAGTTGTTCGGGGTATGACATGCTAAACATTGTTGATGGCATAACTATGGGATTGTACGAGATATGACACGCTAGACATTTGAATAGACAATGCAATCAAATTGTTCGGAGTATGACATGCTAAACATTTATTGATGGCAATGCTATAGGGTTGTTCGGGATATGACACACTAGACATTTTAACAGACAATGCAATCAAACTGTTTGGGGAATGACATGCTAAACATTTATTGATGACAATGCTATAGGGTTGTCCGAGATATGACACGCTAGACATTTTAACAGACAATGCAATCAAACTGTTCGGGATATGACATGCTAAACATTTATTGATGACATAACTTATGGGGTTGTCCGAAGTATAACACGCTAGACATTTGTTCTGACAAGGCAATCAAATTTTTTCGTGGTAAGACAAGCTAAACATTTATTGACTGCAAAGCTCTGGGGTTGTTCGGGATATGACATGCTAGACATTTAATGCATGGTGATAATGTGTATGAGAGTGTTTTGTGAGACAATCATGAGTAATGTTAATGAATGAGAATGTCGTGTATGGAAAATATGTGAGAGAAAGAGTGTGATATAGCCTAATTTTGGATTTGTATTTTATGGAGGTGTAGGCTGATTGGGAATTTTTTCATGGTGATATAGATTGGTTTGGTTTTTCTCATGGCGGTATAACCTGTTTTTATTTCGTTTGATCCTTGTGGCGGTATAGCTTAATTGATTTTGTGTGTCATGGAGATAAAGTTCAAGAGGATATGTGAAAGCTTAACTCGATAACGAGTGGCATAGAGTTGTCTGCTTGATATGACTTATTGAATCAAGCAATTTGTTGAGTCTAGCTAGATCTTTGGTATGTGTCAAACTTGGTTTGGTGAAGATTGTCTAAACTTCGTATTTGTGGGCAAATGCAAGATGTTATATAATATGATATGGTATGATGTGATATATGCTGATAAAAATGTAGGTCCACTTTAAACGAGTTTTGAGAATGATTGATATTTTATTTGGCTATGAATTTTCTTGAGATGATGCCATATGATTAGTTTGAAGTGCATGTGAAGAGCATTTGAAAAAGGTTGTATGATGAATTATAGGATGATGTCTTGAGGGTATGCAAAAGAAAGAGTATAATCTCTCATCATGGTCTTGATGTTTTTTTTATGAATTCTCTTAAATCAATCCACAAGGAAAAATATGTCAGTCCCTTGTAGTAAACTTAATCCTTAGTTGTGCTCGAACTGGAGTAGCATGTTTTCGTCGTGAATACATTCTTCCTTTGGCGTGTTGCATCATCTCGAGGTACTAGGCTCTCCATCTAATATTTGTTCTTTTTCTGCTTAGTGTGCCCAAGCTAAGTCGCTTATGGGGACTGATGAAAGGTTGGTCTTCTGCTTTCTCCACCTTGGAAACTGGTGTTTGATTACTGATGAGTTAGCCATATAATATTTTATCCATGGGATGTGCTTGCTAGGTAGGTTGATTGATTCTATAGGAGGATTTTGTAGCATGGTGGTCTAGGGATAATGTGCTCCTTTGGTTTGATTGATCTTGTTTATACGCGAGCATGTCATGCTTGGCTAAGAGCAATCTGTCATCCCGGGTATTGTCTTGTTGATGTCGGTTTTCTAAACATGCGCGATTGACTTGGGTATGAGGTACAAAATACTTCGTTGAAGGACAGTTTGATTGATTAGTTGAGTAGCTTGAACATATTGCTGCAAGATCTGTGAGATTTCCCGTTTAGTCATTATTTGAGGGGTTTGTAGAACCAATTTCTTCTTTCTTTATGAGTGGCACTATCTTGCCCCCGAGAATATGTTTTTGGCCTTCCATTCTTAGGAACAAAGTGCGACTTTTACCAATCTTGACTTAGAACGAATGCAAACAATGTTTGGGAAAAGAAATCTCATTTGAGAAAGTATAATGAGAACCTTATTTTAGAAATCAATGCCTCGCTTGAGGGATGTGTGTGCAATATGATAAAAATGATTTCTTGTGTGGTTATTGCCATCTTCTATAAAAAAAAATTAAGCCAAGCCACGAGAATATTCATAAGCTCTCACTCTCATTCTCACTTTCAAATCACTCTCACTCAATCCTATGGGTGCTTTGAGTATATGATACTTCTGCTGCTATCAAGATTCTCATTACCATGTTGATGGGGAAAATGTGTACAAGGTATAGGCTGCTTGGAAGAGTTCGAGCGATCTTTGTTTGGTCCCGGAGTGAAAGTTCTCAAACTTCCCTGAAAGGTGGCTCTTGCTTGGTAAGACTCCTATTGTAAGAGTCCTCATATTATGGAAATTCTGCTTTCCTCAAGCAAAGTGGGTAAAGGAAATCCCTGTGACGTCGGGGCTTAGTCATATGAAGCTTTATATTGAGGGTTTTTCGGCTTGCCCCCTAAGTATGAGTCTGATCGATAGATAATGGCGATCATATTTTCTTTTCGTGAAAAGTTCCTCGTGGAGGGATACTTGCTTTCCCCAAAGTATGAGACGGTTGATGGATAGGGTAGATCCTTGTTGAGGAAGTCTCATTTTCCTTGATAATGGTAGTTTATCTTGGCTATATTTGTGGGCATATTTTGAATCATGTTGCCCCCATGTCTTTAACTTTTGGTTTTGAGGGGTAAGCTTGGTAGTGAAGTAACTGAGGTTATTTAAGTAAAAACTCAACATGAAAATCTTCTCATTTGTTGAGTTCTTTGTTTGACCTTGAAATGATGGATAAAGAGGGTATTCGTACGATGCAGACTTCTACTTCTCATATGATCTCGAACTGATGAAGGTTGAAGACTTTTATGTGGCAGTCATAATTCTCGAGTCTTATTATCATGGGAGGGTTCTTCTTTGACTTGCAAGTGTTGGATAATGGGGATCATCATGGGGATGTACTTTAAGTGTATGCCGATATTCTTGGCTTGGGAGCCCTTCCTTTTATGGGTTCTTGTGTTATTTCTTCGCACTTGGGAGACAAATGCCCTTTGGCTTGGAAGGCTGGTTAATTTGATGTATAGTCTAGCTTGAGTGTATAGACCTTGCCGACTGAGAGGATGAGCAATGCACATTCTTGAGGTACACCCAAAATTATCTCTTAGGCCTATTAGCAGAGGTAGCCAGTAATTTTTAGTCACGAGTCTGAATGGTTTTGACTTTCAAGTGCTCATGTAAGGGGCATATAATATGTAAATCCCAAAAGCTTTTTCTATTTTTTTTATTTTGATTTTCTTTTCCTTGCCTTTTTTGGGGTTTTTTTTTTTTTGCGGGACTTACTTGACTTTGTTATGCCCCCATATATGATGCCACTTTGACACTTCTAAATATGTGTACGAGCATCAAAATGTTCGAAATTCGCCAATATGTCGATCTCTGTGACTATGGCTCACGAAATTTATGGACACCAGTGGTGTGTTTTATACTCTGAATTATTGTAAAGTATGTACACTTTTGACATTAGTAGGGTGTTGAAATTATTGACACCGGTAGGGTGTTTATACCACTCGACACCAATGGGGTGCTTATAGTCGCTCGATATGAAAATCTCATGGCTTAACTTGAAAACATGAAATGCACTTTAAGGTTCCCATTTTTAGAGAATAGAAGTTGATTTTCAAGAGTTGAAAGAGATATTGGTCATTTTGAAGAAAATGGAAAGAATCATTGTTGCAATGTTCTTATTCATTATTGGTATTTCTCACACAATGTTCCAAATATGTGGAAATGCAAATAACCATATATCCTTCATGATGATAGCAAATGCTAGTACATTTCTTCAATATGGTAAAATATCTAGCATTTATTTGATTATGCAGGTCAAGAATCAAACTTTGTCTCATAGTATGCCAGTTGATCTCCGTGATTAGGCAGTGAGTTGTCGTTGAAGTTTGGATAATTGGCTTATTCTTTGAATTTTCGACAAACTCCTCGTTAACATGGCAACTTGTCATTTCATTTCTTCATGTATCGTTGACCTTCTTTCGGTGTCACCGACTTCCTCCTGGCATGACTCTGTTACGAGCACAACCTTGGATATGATTGAGTACTTAAGGGTTTGACTTTGTTCTTGTGGATAAACAATTTTAGAAAATCTCGATTTAGCTAAGTTACTCCCTGTTCTAAATGAGATGAATGCATGATTGTCTGCTAAATTATATGATTGTGCATATGCAAGATGTATGAATGCTCATGATTGGTAATGAAAAAAATGCTAGCTTCATAATTTTTGAGAAACATTTAGTTGGACTTGAAACCTATTGGTTGCTTACGTACCCGAGTAGTCGGGATCAAAGTCCACGTAGTTCGGTTTAAAATGAAGGATTCAAAATGTTGAGTCTAACAAATTGGAATGTAGAGAAAGTTGTTAACATTGTTTCTAATGGGAGAAAAATTGTTAGATGGTTTTTAGAAAGAAACCCTAACACGTTTTACTGATCGTGTTTTAGGTTGAACATTTTAAAGAGAAACAAATTTTAATTCTTCGAAATACAATGTTAAGGATTGATACCTTGCGAAAGAAAACTTAACACGAGAACGAATATGAGATATTGACCATTTCGAATTAAGGACTTTAATAAGTTAAGCATTCAAACTTATTTAATTTTTAAGAATAATTGAGGTTAATATCTTTCCAATGAATGGCCGCTAGGTCGAGTGGTTTGAAACACAGTGCGGTGTGCATCAGGTTGCTTGTTCGAATCCCGCAGAAGTGCCTTTTTGTTTAGCTTCCTTCAGGTCATTTTGAATGAAACGACGTCGCTAGGGGGGCGTCTTGGGCGGACGACGACGCATCATTCTTGGGGAGGATGGTGGCAATTGGCGAAATTTCTGTGAAAACCGGTAAGGCAGTTTGGTCATTTTAGCTTCAAGGGTATATAATCCCTCCTTAAGCCGAAAATCATAACCCTAGGCGCCGCTCGGCCCTCTCTCTCTTATCTCTCACTCTCAACCTCTTCCCCCCACTCTCTCTCAGTCTCACGTCAGTTCTAAACCAAAACGACGAATGAAGAAAGGAAAGCTTATTCCTCCCCCTTCTTCATCTGCTCTCACCTTCATCTCTTGTCTCATCTCCGCCTGTTCTCCGACAACAACGAGAGAAGGAGCCAGCCATTCCCTTCTATTTTCCTTTCTGGAAATGCAAGGAGAAAGGAAAAAGGAATTCAGGACGACAGTGCAGTGGAAGACGGCGAAGGACGCCAATGACGGATCTGACGATGGCGGAGGTAAAATTAGGTTTTGTTTTGCTTTTTCATGTCGAATCTTAGGGTTTTGATTTTGGATTTTATTCTGATTTGGGGTTCCTCTGGGTTCTGACTCCATTTTTATTTTTTGGTTTTTGGTTGATGTTTTGGACGAAGAGAAGAAAGAGAGAGAAGATGTCGTCGGAGATAGACCGAGACAATGACATCGAGTGCGATTGATGCCAATAATGATGGTCGGAGGTAGGATTTCGGAGTTTGCATGTCGATTTAGGGGAGTTGTGGGGTTTGATGTTGATTACTATGTTTGTTTTTGGGTCTGATCGAGGGGAGACGAGAGGTAGACATATGAAGGGAGAAATGGCCGCTGAGGAGGAGAAGAAGGGGAGCCGCCGTTGCGATCCTGAATACTGTCGGCAGTGAAAACGACGATGACAGGGAGATAGATCCTTTTTTAGTAAGATTTTCGTGGTTTAGGCCAATGGTAGATTAGAGTAGTAGATTTGGATGTTTTTTTGTGAAATCTCTCGTTTTATCTCTTTTTTATTTTTAAATTCCCATTCGTAACTTCTTTTGCTTATTTTGGCAGGTTTGAACATGAAAAATAGAATCGGTTTGGCGATATCCTTTCTCCCTTTTCAAGCCTTTAAGCTAGATTTAGGTTTTTCAATTGACCGATTTAATAATTTGGGAATTATTAGAGTAGTTAACCCATACTTGGATGACTGTTTTGTGAAAGATTCAAAATCTGGGGTTTTAATTGTTCTTCGTGGTTCTTGATGTTTGGTGTTTTCTAAGGGGTTGTATCCGAGGGAAAGGACGTCGAGCGCCGGTGGGGAGAGTGGGGAGTTTTGTTTAAATTTTGTTATCAATGAAACTCTGGATTCTTGGGGATTCATGGCGAGTGTTTTGGATTATAATATGTGTGCTTTGGTGCTCTTTATTTTTGTTGGCCACATCTGTTTTGTAACATCCCGAACCTTTTTCCGACAAGATACTGTCTCCTTTGGGCCTCTACACCCGCACGGATTTCAACTTGGGGTGCAATTCAGGATGACTTCCCATAAGGTCACCCATCCTTTTTGTACTCCACACTGAGCACATTTAACATCGGAGTTCTCACAAGAACTCCTCCATTACACCCCAAAACATGTCTTGTCAATTAAGGTCGGTTTCTTACTTATGAACCATGGATCTCGCCCGTGCTTTGTCGATGTGCGATTCGTCTAAGGTGTTACAAACACCCCCCCCCCTTGGGACTCAACGCCGTCGTTGAGGTTTGCCCCACCATCATTCAAGAGGGACGCGGAGAGGCTCTGATACCACTTGTAACATCCCGAACCTTTTTCCGACAAGATAATGTCTGCTTTGGGCCTCTACACCCGCACGGATTTCAACTTGGGGTGCAATTCAGGATGACTTCCCATAAATATGTACTTTAGGTTCCTTGTTCAAATAAGCAGAAATTAATAGAAAAGTTATCCTTCCCCAAAACCCTAATCTCTTTCTCTCTCAAATCTCGTCTATCCTTCTATCCCGTTCTTTTTGTTCTTCCCCAATTCTGTTCCTAATCCCCAAATTCTCTTCTAAATCCCTAAATCCCAATCAATTCCCAAATTCCCAATCCTATCGATAGAACCATAGAAATAGGTTTCTATCATCTGGTATCAGAGCCCGATTCGATAGCGAGTTTGTCACAACTCTCAATCAGGGATGGACGCATATGAAGAATTCATACCTAGGGTTACTAAATTGGTAACCTCAACATTCATTCGAGTGTCCGTCCGCTTGCCTGAGTTTAGGAGAGCACATGTGGTGTATTCCTCGGGCATCATAACAATATGTGGGAAACGACCATTGGAGGGCGAGAATCGGTGGATGTGTTTTGAGACTAAGATCAAGATCAGGTCTGATTTCGATACCGAAGAATGTGACGTTTGGTAGAGGTACGGCCGGCTCACCGTTGAAATTCCTAGGAGCAAATCTTCATCAGCAACAGCGGGAAGCACATAGCTCGTGGAACCCGCTGCCATTCTCCTGCCGCTGACCGTCGCATCGGGGGAAGAAGATTTGTTGGCTGAAGAGAAGGCAGCGAGCGAGCCGCCGCATGAGGAGACAACACGAGATCTCGGCGAGGCGGAGGTGGAGCGACCAAGTGAGGCTGCGTTTCCGGAGGATGACCTGCAGGAGAAGACGACCGAGGAGGAGGAAGCTGCGACGGGTGATGCAGCGGAGAATGAGGAAAAAGACAACACGAATGGGGCATCGCCCTTGCTGGCCGACTCGATCGCCGCAAGAGGTCGAGAAATTCGTACATTGCTGGAAGAGCTTTCGGCCTCCGTGCCGCCAGAGACGGGACGACGGGGGAGCAGCTCGTCGTCGCGGGGAAAGAAGGAGGGCGACGGTGATGGATACTTGCCGAGGAAGAAGAAGAAAGCGGAGACGGCGGATCGGGAGAAAGAGGCGGAGCCGATTCGCCTCGGTCCATCGCCTAGGAAGGAAGTCTCACCGAATTCGGTAGTTGAGAGGAAGGTTTCGCCGCCGAGACCGCAGTCGGAGGTGGACTGGCTTTTCCGCTGTCAGAGTAGCCCATTGTCGCCGAGGAAGGGTGGATGACGAGCGAGCAGAGGAAGGAGGGCGGCGACATCGGGTCCTTCCGCACGAACCCTAGGGTAGCTTCCTGGACCCTAGCCGAGCAGCGGAGCGGGCCGAGGGAGGAGCCGAGTGGGATGACCACGCTTCAGCTCGGGTCAGGTTGGTTGGTTCAACCAACTGGGCCTCAGTTTGAGATTAATTGGTTGGAGCAAAGGACTGATTATGGGACGAGAGTTGAGGAGAAGCGAGTTGAGAAAGATCATTTTTATGGGCTGAGTCTTATGGAACGAATTGGGCTCAGGGTGGGCTGTTCTTTGAAGAAAATGGACTTGAATGAAGAAAATGGTGGGTTTAATATCTAGGTGACTCGCTATGACACAACTCCTAACAATGGCCAAGTGTAACCAATGAAAGGGACTGCAGTATAGTGGCTCAAGTAATAAATATCGAATCCACGGGTCTATAGAGTTACTATTACTCAGCTTCAGTTCATTATCTAGCAAACCAGATTAAGATGAAAGAACTAAAACTACTCTAGCAAACTACAGTTAAAGTTAATCTAATTACAGGTTGGGAACTCACTTAGGTATGATTCCCCCTAGCCACTAGCCAGATTAACGATTGATGATCTCTAACTTGTTTCACTTTCATCCACAATGCGGAGAATCCTTGACTAGACCTTGAGTCTCGACTAAAGGATCAATGCCCTCTTGAGACTATTGCCTAGAGGGATGTATCCTTCTCTAGCACAACCGATCAAGGCGTTCTGAACTAGACCCCCTCTATCGAAAGAGGTTCTCAATCGATTATGTATGCGGGTGAATGTTTGGCTGTTTGTGTGCTTGGAGAGTAGTCCACTGTCCAAATTTTGATTTGAGGGCTCCAAGTACGTGTTTCCATGCAAATTGCCTGCTCAGTATGCTTTGAATTGACAGTCTCTATAGTAATGTGCAACCTAGGGAGGTAGTGTAGCACTATGGAGGATGTTGAAGTATAAGATTTTTCCTATCTAGCTCTCTGCTGTGCCAGTTGATTTTGTGAATTAGTGGAGCTAAGACCGTTGAATTCATGTGGTAATGTTGACTCTGTTTGAATTGTGTTATGACTCGTGTATCGAACAGGGTACTCATGTGAGAAATGAAAAGCAGTTGGTCCTCCATGTCGAAATCATTGAAATCTTAAACATGGGGTAAGCCCAACGTGTGTGGCACCGTTCATTGCAAAAAATCGGGTTTTGGAAGAGATTTTAGTGATCCTTAGTGGGGTACTCCTACAAGGTGAAGCTAAGTTGTCTCTAGTACAAGTAAAACTTCCACCCGTTGAACGGTTTGCCTACTTGAGGATGTGTTTTTAAGGGCACGGATAGAGCTTCCGACCCCCCTTAATTCCATTGACCCTCCACACGAGTTGAGGAAAAGGAGTTAAAAGAAGTACCCTGGCGAGCGCCAGGTGTACAGAAATTGCTCTTGCTCGACTAATAAGGGTCGACCGTGCAAAAGACTGCAGTTGGAACCCCTGCTAAGTGAAAGAAAAAAAAAACAAGGAAAATGTGAATGAAAGTGCAAAAATGGGTTCCAACGGTGAAATGAAGTGAAAGGGCACCCCGGTACAACGAGTCCTTGGTTGTGAATGGTGTGAGTCCCTTTATCCATGAACTGACTGTCTTACTTCTACTTTTTCTCATGATCTTGGCTTGAGTCTAGTACTCGCATTGAGATAGATAGGGAACGTCTTAGAAGACCAGTTGACCTCGTAAGCTGCTATATGATCTAGGAAATCCTCTACCGACGATCGGGGTTGTTTGTTGCTATAGAGGTCTAGAGAGCTGCATTGGTTTGAGTTAGGTTTGCTTGGGGACAAGCAAACAGTTAAGTGTGGGGGAATTTGATGACTCGTTATTTACACATGTTTTTACCCCCATTCTTACACCGTTTGAGGTGTTGATTCTCGTGTTTTAGGCCGATTTCGCGCTAGGTTGTGCTTGTTTGTGATATTTCAGGTCCTAGTACGTGAATGAAGGCTTAGGAGCGAGTCTGGGGTTGATTGGACGACGAACGGACGAATGGCGAGCCTTTTGGAGAGCTGCACGGGCAGACCAGGGAGGCTGCACGGCCGTGCAATATGCAACTCTGGCCGTGCGCCTTATGCCGAGGAGCTGCACGGGCACCCCTGAAGATCTGCACGGCCGTGCACCTGGCCGTGCAGGATGGTTGAAGGCCGATTAAGTGAAACGGTGCGTTTCAGGGTGCACGGCCAGAATGGTGATGTGCACGGCCGTGCACCTGGCCGTGCAACTCGGGAAAGCCGGTTTTAAAGCCTAATCCGAGCCAGAAGTGGGAGAATCGTTTTTTGAGAGCTGGGTTTTGGATCCCAAACACCCAAGGGACGAACCCTAGAGAGAGAGAGAGCGACTTGGGAACATTCTTGGAGCTATTTTGGAGGATTTCTTCGCCATTGGAGCTCAGGAATCAAGCTTGGAGATGGAGATTGAAGATCTAGATCAGATTTCTGCAGTCTCTCTCTTCTCTATGGAGTAACTTCCCTTCACTTAGGTTTTGAGGAACCCTAGTTCCATGAGTTAGGATCTTTCTTGTATGAAGTTTTGGATGCTTTATTGTTTGATTATAATCGATTGAGGCATGATTTGTTGAGTCAATTGAATCTTGATCAAATTCTCTTGATTTCTGCTTTAACCTATGATAGATAGAATCTGATTAGGTTAAGAGAGCTTCCTTGATTGATAGTGGTGAATTGGTTGTGCGAGAGTCAATCAATTTACTTCTTTGTACTGGAATTCATTCCAGTAGTGGAGATCTGTGTGAATCGCCTTAGCAGTCTATCCCGGTGACGGCTAGTCGTCTGTCGGGTATTCTGTTTGAGAGGGCTTGGTCAGCTTAAGAGATTCCAAGCTAATTTCGGATCTTCCGCAGTTTAATCAACAGTAGAACAACCAAAGGTAATTGCAACTTGGACCTAATTGAGGAGCTAGGGGGAATCATACCTAAGTGAGTTCCCAACTTGTAATTAGTAGAGTAGTCAGTAGAGTAGTTTATCAATCAATTCTTAATCTAGTTTGCT